AGCTTCTACTAGTCGAGATGTTCTCTGCTGTTTCCTGGACACTAAATCAACAGCAGCCTTCCCAGGCCATGAGCCAAGATGGATGAGTCCATGAATGTTAAGAGACAGTTTGACGTAGATCTGCCAGGCTTTTCTGAACAGAGCATTTTTCCATCTTTTCAATCACAAGGTGATGCAGGTAATGGGGCTAGAAGACTATTTTCACATTTAGCCTGCATGTTAAACTCAGAGTGACTGATCATATTTAAAAAACGGGTAAAAATAATTTTCTTAGTGAACTTATTCTTTAAAATAAATCGGTTCTGAATTGTCTAATGTTTTTATGATTACAACTGCTCAAAACCCAACAAGTGAACATTTCCCACAAGAGGAGCCTCGTTTTTGTTCCTAAGAAAGAACACTAAAAATATACATGTGACAGAACCAGCTGCAAAATACATGTGCGTGCTGCGAGAAAGCACATGTGGGGGAGAAACCGAAACTGAACCAAGAATGGCAGAGTACGAGATGACAGAAAGTCAGTTATGCAACATTAACTGTCACGTATTGCCCTCAGCGGTCCTTCCTCATAGCCGTAACGCACATCTTGCTGTAATATAGCCAGAAGGTGAGTTCAGATCAAAGGGCCTCTAAAAAAAACTGATCCTGGCAAAAATCCCAACAAAATCCTCTGAGGAACACACACACTTCAGCACTTCTTCAGACGCTGCTGCTGTCTCGCCAAGCAAAGCTAATCCTATTTAGGAAGATTTTGCGCAAGGACAACAAATGTGACATTGTGCACACAGCTGCTTTAACGCAGCGTAATGATCTCAGTCTGTTGCACCTAAAAGTTAAGTTCACACCTTCAGTTTGCATGAGCAAACACACCGATCAACTTCTGCTGATTCTGTCAGCAAATAAAATTTCCACAAGAGGAACTAACGTCTGCTTTATTAAAGCCTGGCTTGTTTACCTTCTGAGAGGGAATTCCCACTCTATCAGATGACACAATGACTCACATGTGGAAATGGTTGTCACCCCCCAGAGAAAAACAATACTTTGACTAGTTTTTGATCTGTCTAAAGCACATCCACGTTTGATGCTGAGGTAATACGCGGCAACGTGTTGCTCAACATTAGATGGAGAAAACACTCCCACGTTTGCTCACATCATCAATTTCAGCTCCATTAGTGACGGGTTGTTTACTAGTCTGAGTAGGCAGAACTATTTTCCAAACGTGCGGAGAATTTCCACACAGCAAGAATGTTCGTCTTAAAATGGAATTTGTTCCCACGCCAATGGAGCAATTCAATTTGTTTAAGCTGATGAAACTTGGGTTTAGTCGATTGTAATAAGTTATTTGTTAAAAGAGGGGGAAATAATCAAAAGTGTTGGAAAAAATAACAAGGTGCCATTTTACAATAAAGGTCCCTTTATTAATGCTACTTAGTGCATTAATAAACTATTAAACAAAGTATCCCCCGGCCCTTTGCTCTAACCTTAAGGAAACTTAATAGTTAACAATAAGAATAATGTTACTAAAGGGACCCTTAGTGAATTTTTAAGCATTAATAAACAACATAACATTAATAAAGGGACCCTTATTTTAAAGTGTTACCAATAACAACGCTGTCAGAAATTCTATAAATTTACTAGTCTGGAATTCTAGACAAACCTTAGTGTAAGATTTTGCCCTGCAGGTCGGTCTAGCCACACTCGATTGTAGTCTCAGCAGATCTACCGCCCGACCAAACACTTTTATGCCTAGCCAGTGACGGCATTAGTAGAGAGACGCTGGAAGGTCTTAAAACCAGAGCTGCAACAGAGTGAAAACTACAAACGGCTTAGGCATCAACTTTGTACGATTTTAGTTTTGGCCTTTCCTTTGAGATGTGAGGAAATGGAGGTACTTAAGGTTGCTTCTTCTCCTTTGACAGCGTATGGCGGAATGCCCTGTTGACTGATTTGAGTAGCGACGGATAAGTCATGTTATTTGTTGCTCTGATTGGTCTTAGCGCTGTCCAATTGCGTATGGAGACCGTAGATTCCGCTCCACGATCAAGCTCCTCTGTGGGGTCGAGGCCAGTCTATACATTGACATGTGCATATACTGGCTTCAACTTGCCATGCTAGACATCTGCCTACATTCAGTCTAAATGAGCATTTGTTTCCACTGTCTGTCTGAAAAACACTCGGCACCACTTGAGAGAGCAGGAAGTTACGGAGATGAGGAAAATACTTCATCTGCGTGAAAAGCATGTGGGAAGGGAAAAGAGGCAAAAAAAAATTTTGGACCATAGGATGCAGGCTCTGTTTGCATGGCCATTGGAAAGGGAAATGGAACGGAAACCAGGAAGATGATGTATATCTGAGTATGCACAGAACGTGCAGCATGACCTGGTGTGATGGTTTCACAAGCACGGTTTGTACTCAGGGGTGCATTTAAGGAGTCTTTAATTTTTTTTAACACGCAAAAATATGTTTCTGTCAAACCTATTTCCTAGTGCAGGGATACTCACAGATTGCATTAGATTAGGAATATTCTTTCGTCCTAAGAAAGTAATTTCATCGCCACACCCAGCAAGCTCCACCAAACACCCTTCAACTACAGCTGGGACCTTGATAATTGCTAAATATGGACCCAGGGGACATGTTTGTGATGAGAAGTTCATTACGCTCTTCACAACTGTTATTTATCCCACACCTGAACATGTGGCACGTTACAGATGATCAACCATGTGCACTGAGATTAACGTCCACCAGCTGCCAGGTGGTGGGAAAACAACAGCATAAAAACAATCTGGATGTTTGGGAATACAAGAGGGGGCTATCTTAAAAGTAAATATGATGAAAGATCCTCAATAAAACGTGAATGCTTCAATGTTATGCTAAGGAAGAGCAGAATGTGTCAGATTATTAATCTTGATCCTATATATATATATATGTTTTTATTTCAGAAGGTCTTACCAAGTGTAATTGTCTTATTACACTGCCAGAATATTTAACTTGACTTCAGAAATCTTAGACTAAAGTATTTCTAAACTCATTGTTAGATGGCTAGCTTTGCAGTTGGGAAGCTATGAGATAAAATGTAATATGAATCACTTATTTTTTGTATTGGGACATATTATGACTTTTTTCCTTAAGCTATAATAGTTTTATAGTTGCTACAAAACATGTTGAAGAAGTTCTTTGCACTAAATAACTTTCACACAACACTTTTTCAGGAGGTTTTATATTTGACAGTTTCAGTGCCTTCCAGAAGGAGCCATTTCAGGGCACTGTCACTTTAAGAAAGCTGGAGCTGGCCCTGACTACCGCTCCCTTGCTCAGGCTGCTATAAGCTGAGAAGCTCTGATACCCAGGAGGGGCTCAGACTAGAGCTGCTGCTCCTCCATCAACAGTCCTGCTGACCAAGAGAGATTATTCTACTTTAATTTCCCCATTTGTGACATCACAAAAAGGGACATTTTAAAATTACTCATTTGAGGCACATAATTCCTAAAACCCAAAGACTGAAAAAATGTATTGACAGTTTATCACATTTGGAGTGTTTTTAGAGGCAGAGACCCACAAGACAGGACTAAAATATGCAAAATGGGAGCTTTTCATAATATGTCCTATTTGAATTCTCTGAATAATAAGTTCCATTCTATTGTAAATAAGAAACACAGCTCAGAGGCTTACTTTAACAAAAGAAAAAAGGAGGAAAATCAATAAATGGGCTCAGACACTGCATCCATCTATCTGGCAGCGAGATTCCTATTCCACTCGCTCAAATAACAAGGATGGATAAATGCCGCTGCCAGTAATATCATGTGGCTGGACCGCTGCTTACTTTGCTAGCAAACCTATATCAGAAAACTAAGATGCCTGCTATGGACATAAAAACACTCAGAATATTACTAGCAGATGCAGGTGATAGAAATGTTTAAGTCCTTGAAAGTTTGTGAAGACATGCAACAGAACTGTGCAGAAAATTTGTTCCCTTTAATATTTATAATTTATCTAATTAACTGTCAAATTATTCGGCAAGATTTTAAGATGAAGTTCACTCGTATTTTTAATACATTTGCAGTAGGAATAGTCGAGTAGGATTGAATGCCTTGTAAGTTGTACTCTGGGGAATAAAAAGCTCAGATGCTCCTGTTTGAGGATGTAGAAGTCAGCTGGAGGAGAAAGTATCTTCAGACGGATTTGGTGTCTCATTTCCTGATATTTGGACAATTTGCATTTGATTGGCTAACAACAACAAAACTCTTTCTGCTTTCATTTGCTTTGCAAATAACACAAATCTGAAGGAATTCTGTCATGTGGTGGCATTGCTAATGCTAACGTTAGCTTCTACTAGCCAAGATGTTATCCATTTCCTGGACACTAAACCAACAACAGCCTTCCCCATCACGAGCCAGGATGGGTGAGGCCATGAATGCTAATTGACAGCGTGATGTAACTTTGATTAGCTTTTCTGAGCTGAGCGCTTTCCCATCTATTTTGTATCAGAAGCTAATGCAGGAAGATGGGGTAGGAGACTATTTTATACTCAGCCTGCAGGAAACACTCAGAGTTACAGATCATTTTTAAAAACAGGTAAAAATGTTTCTCGGTGAATCTAGTGGTCAACTAGAAATATCATTTTAAATACACACCAATTTTTTTCCATTTAAAATGTTATAAAATATTAAACCAGGCATTTTACACCATTGCCAAAATCTAATTCAAGTCCTTTCAAGACGAGGTTTGAAGACTTTCCATTTCTTCACACATAAATGGTCAAAACCATACTTTCTGTTCATTGTCTAATAAAAGTAAATAATGGACTTCTTTACCTTTTTAAAGGTATGAAAATTCAAATATTTTCAAGGATTTCAAGCACTCTTAAGAATCCTGCAGACAATAAGCAGCTCTTTGCAAGAAGCCCAAAATTTATCTTTTAATCCTAAAGATTTGCTATTAATAAAAAAAAAACAGTTAGAAAATGAATGTATTTAACACATTTTTAGGAAGGGGCTCCTTACCTTGAGAGTCATCCGACTGGTTGAAGCCACACAGCTGGCAGATCGAGCGGACCCACTTGTTCATCTCCTCCTCGGTTTCGGCCACAAGATAAAAGGTGCGATCTGAGGTCTTGATGTCAAACACGAAGCTGTCCTGGAACTCCTTCCTCTTGAAGGTCAGGCCAGCGTCCACCTGCTCGCAGCAGTGCAGGTCGATGACTCGGATGGGCTTCTTCGAGTGGTCATTCTTGTAGTACTCCAGGACATCGGGGTCACCGCTCATCCGGCCGCTCCGGAGTATGAACCAGCGCTTTTTCCAGGCCTGGAATCAAAATAAAGTTTTTGCTCGCAAAAAAAATGTTTTTAACTTCATTTCATGGTTTAAACAGCTTTTAATGCCTATTATATCCTTACAGTCCATGAGCCAATGTGTTGCCATGGTAACACGCTCAACAGCTGGACCCAGGTTGTGGTGTTAACTGTTGATCAAACAGACCTAAAAGAAAAGTCTGCCTTTTTTAAGCACACGTGTGGTTGTGTGTGGTTGTTGGTGACTGAGTGAGGCAGAGGAGGAGGGGGGGGGGGGGGGGGGGGCAGCAGGTGTTTACTCCCTCTCAACGTATTTCCTGTGCAGATATCCCTCCTTAAGCGAAGAGAAACGGTGACAGATTAAAGGCTCCTTCCGTTTCAAGAAAGAAAAGTCCCTAGTCCAATCAGAATCAAGGTGTGTGTGTGTGTGTGTGTGTGTGTGTGTGTGTGTGTGTGTGTGTGTGTGTGTGTGTGTGTGTGTGTGTGTGCACATTAGGGCAACAGGGAGGTGTTGGGAAGGGTGAAACAGCATAAAGTTTAGGAGGAACTAAACCAAAATGTGCATTATTTTGATCATCCTTTGAAAAACCTTCTAGGTGATGAAGCTTTCGTTGTTTCGTATGATTTTCCAGCAGCCTATCTAAAGGGACCCAGTACTCAGCACTGCAAACAGAAATAAAAGAGGAAGAAAGACCAGGAAGGGAGAGGGGGCGTGCGGGAGCGCTGAGGTGGTGGGGGTGGGCTTTTGGACACGTGCCAATGATGCACTTCCACCAGCCGCTGTCTCACATGCAGGCTGCTGACACACAGGATCCTGCTGGCCTCCTCTCCTCTAACCTTCATCAACACAGGCACTGCTGCAAGGCTAACACCTCCCCTCAGAGCAAACTCCACACAAACACACACATAAACTGCAGAGATATTTTTAATCACTACTGGATGTATGGATGCAAAACACTCTGTTCTCAGAGGCCATTAACTTGAAAATGCATCCTGCATTAAATGTAATGTGCGGTGGTTTGTAGGGGACACCAGGAGAAGATTTTACTACAGGAAACCAGTCTCTGGTATCAAACTACCCGGGAGCCATGCTAACAGAATGATAAATCTAAAAACTGACAAGAAAGGAAAAATTTGAAAATGAGAGTTTACACAAAAATCTGTTTAGATAATCCTCGATAAATATGGATTAACTTAGAGTTGAGCAGAGACAAGAATTACGAGATTAAAAATGGTCAAACGTAGAGTCAAAAAAGATATTTGTACAAATAGACATCATGAGATGTCGCCTTTTGTTCTATATCCTAAATTCAAGCAAATATTTGTCTGCAAAAACTTGTTTAATCCAAGAGAATAAATTGTAGGTTAGCTCAGCACAGTTACTGGATAATGCATTGGGTTGAAGAGGAAGGACAATACTTTAAACTGCATTAAAGGTACCGTCTGAGATTTATTTTTTATGGAACATTTGCCATATTGCTTGGAAATTCTCTTCACCTATCGGTGGCAACCAATAAACTAAACGTTCTGTCAAAAAACTTTAAACGGTCCATGAAGCATGAGTGGGTGGGAGGAGGTTTAGTTTGGAGTTGGTTGGTTGGGATCACCTACTACGGTAATATTTCTCTGGCATCGGAGGAAGTGTGGTTGTAGCCGTCCTGCTGTTAGCTTGCTGTTATAGTTCTGAACGACTTCTTGAAGGAAGTAAAACGCCACGACTGACTCATTATTGACTTCACACACATTTCACTGTAATATCGAGTTGCTGGTTACTGAAAATGTAGCTGAGACATTTTTAGACCTGACAATTTGCTTCTAAATCACCGTTAGCATAGTTAGCTCAACGTTGGCCTCTAGCCTGGTTTATCTGATATTGGAGGAAAACAAAAACATGGCGTGGCTTCTTAGGGGTACATGAAATAACTTTTTGGTTGCTCCTGTTTGTCTTTGATTCGTTAAACAGCTGCGGAGCTTTTTGTTTGCTGGTGTCAAATTACAAATGCAACGTTAGCTCGCCGGAGGCAAGGCATCCTCAGACTGTAAACAGTAACTATATCACTCTTTAGTTTTTTTCTAAAGAAGACAAACTGACAACTCCCAGCCAGTTGAGAATGAAATATGGTTCAATGTACCCTTCCTTCCAAAATGATGTAGACATTAGAGAATTCTGCTGTTGTGTCCTTGGGCAAGACACTCAACCCACCTTGCCTGTTGGTAGTGGTCAGAGGAACCTGTGCTCGGCAGCCTCGCCTCCATCAGTGTGCCCCAGGGCAGCTGTGGCTACAATGTAGTTCATCACCATCAGTGTGTGGGTGAATGATACACTGTAGTGTAAAGCGCTTTGGAGTCCTCTGACTCTAAAAGGCACTACACAAGTGCAGGTCATTTATCATTTAGACAATTTAGTAATTATTTCTCTGTAGAATCCTTACATATTGCTCCTTTAAGGGGAAACGTCCTGTGTTTAAGGAACAAAAAAGAATAAATATAATTTCTGTTGAACATTCCCTGCAAACAGTCAACGTTTCATGGACGTGCAGATCATGTCTATATTGAGTCTGTCGGTCCAGACCGCGTCTGTAGGATGTCCAAACTAGGTCTTTGCGCAGTGGGTTATATTAAAATGCTTCAATTCAATCTCACACACCATTAGAATTCACGCTATAAGATGCGTTTGACTTAACCGGGATCTTTATTTATTTTTTTCATTTTTCTTTATCTTTAATGTTTTACAATCTGTAGCATCATCTTCATTTCCAGGAAGTGCAGTGTGAGCTTATCTTTGGTGTGTGTAGCATCTCCTGAGGTATTGGAGTATAAGACTTTTTTTTAAACCACACAGACAGATTAAGTGATAAAAACTGGAGCCATTAGCTAAAATCTCAAAAATACAGAAAAAGAGGAAAGCAAAAACAAGTTGTGCAAATGTAGAAAATCTCTGTTTTAGGTCACGTCTGACAGAGGGAGGTAGTTTTGATGGCTCACCAAAACAAACGATGACACAGAAGGTTGTATGACGGCAGATTCCAGAGAGGTTAACGTTTACACTCCTCAGGTTTCTTGGCATATGCTTCCCAAAAGTGAATATATTCCACCACAACACATGCAAACCACCTCTTTGATATTCCTCCCGTCCAAACGTTTCTCTTTTCATTATGCGTTAATAAAATAAATGTTAGCATATTTTGTGGAATAAAAGAGAATAAACTAAATTGAATCTTGGAGCGATGCCCTGTTTTAAAAGGCTGGTGCAACCCAGCTGGCATCCATCAGTAATTAGGAGCATATTAAGCCTTCACAAACAGAAAAAAGTCTAATTATTTCCTAAACTAAGTGAAGCGTTTCATCAGGAAGATAAATAAATCGGATTTCTGTCTGAATAAAGGGGCAGAATGCTGCTTTTATGCTGGTATCTTCCTGTCTAGCAACAGCGGCGCTACTTCTGTTTTTCATGTTTGCATCTTGAGTTGTTTAAAAAAAAAGAGAGAGAACAAACTTCCCAGGCAAAAGTAAATCATCAGGGAGGACACGTACAAAAACGAACTAACCCACCCACAGCCTGGCCTACAGAGCATGTCTAAGCCCATCGATCACTGTCTGAGAACTGGGAAGTATAGACGAGTCGAAGCTGTAAAACTGGAATGAACTCTCTTGTCTCTTCCATTCTACCCTCCCCCCTCGTGGATTTAGTTTGGGCTGTTAAAAAAAAAGAAGAAAGAAAAGACAAGAGGGGGGAAACTGGCTAGAAACATTGGCCTTAATAACTGAACTAGAGCGTCCTCGGAAACATCAAGAGAGCTTTGATCTGGAATAACGCCATGTACCAGAAACAGGGAGTTGGTCACTTTATTGTCAAAGCAATATGTTACAAACCACAAGGTACATGTTGTCACTTTCATGCTTGAATATAATTATGATGTTCTACACTCAGAACAAACTCAACGACGTTCAAATCAAAGCTGAAAATAGAACACGAAAACCTCGGAGCACAATTCTATTTCTAAGAAATTTTACAGATAAATTCAGTAATTTTCAGTTTTTTTTATCTTGAGCCACAATAACTGCAGTAGCTCTCTGAAGAGATCAGTGATCCATATCAATGGATGAACATTTATGGTCTCCATTAATTCTTGATCTTACTGTTTTCTAATTTCCGTGTCCGGAGCTCAAGGCAGGCACATACTGAAGGACTCCAGCCAGTGGAGCACAAAGAAAACAACAAAACATGTCTGCATCTATTTTAGATGACTGGAAGGAAAACTTCTAATAACAAAACCACACAAACATTCTTCTGAGTGACTTTGTTTCTATTAATAGGATCAGAACCTGTTTAACCGGCCAGCTCCTTTTGTTTCTTCAGATGTTGATAAGCAGAAAGTGTTTTTCTTTTTTTCCATTTTTAGCTGAAAGCAAAAACATTAATTCTGTAGGTAGGGGGACAAAATTAGCCAAAGCTCATACGTCACTGCAATAAAGTGATGCAAAAGACCAATTTCACATCTTTTAATGTCATTAAACATAATTTTAGAAAATAAACAAACTGGTGCAATCACAAGTTATGAGAACGTAAGAGTCTCGTCTATTTGCATTGGGTTTATTACCATTCCGTCTCAATAATGCAGGCTAATCAACTTGGTTAGGACCCGAACAATTAACTGAAGGTGTGCCTTTTACAGCAAAGGAGAGGGGTGTGTGTTTAGTAGTAGGCTGTGTCAACAGGCCACATGATAGGCATCAGTCAGCGTGTTTTTAAATGTCTATGAGCAAACATCCAAGTTAAACAACTGTGTTATTCAAGCTAAAGGATGGAACAGTCTTGTTTACCTCAGTCCCATTAAAGCAATGGAGGAGGAGTCAGCAGGTTGACTTGACCTTCTCTGGATTACAGGCAACACACACACACACACACACACACACACACACACACACACACACACACACACACACACACACACACACACACACAGCTGCACAAACATTGGTACTGTAAAGCTGTGCCCAGGACAGACAACC